GATCCTTCCGGGGGTCTGGGTAGGAGCTCCAAGACCACGGCCTCCCGCTGACCTCCATGAAGTCTGAGAGGTCCAAATGCCCGGAATGGACCAACCTCAGCAGCTCCGAACCTAAAGGATGCTTAGGGTTTAGGGTTTAGGGTTTAAGGGTTAGGGTTTAGGGTTTAGGGTTTAGGGATTCAGTGATCTGGGGACAGTTTCTTCAGTCCAAACACCACTATTACGTGCGAATGGCGAAGAGGCGGGGTGTACCCGGGCCAAGCTTCAAACAATAGTGGTGGGAAGTCAGTGGTGGCTGGAGCGGCGTGCAGGAGTTTGGTTCTACGCCTCGCAACTTAACGGTTTGAAGCATCAATCCACCAGGTGGTATGTTGGCTGGCCTGGGCTCAGGGGTTCTTAACTTGATCCACCACGACTCACATAAGAGACAGAAATAGAGGCATCAAGCAACGGTGGACAGTGAGCGAGGGAGGGGGGAGAAACCCCAGGATCAGCTCTCTAAGTCTGACCAGGCGCATCTTCAATTTTCACATAATAACCCGGCACCTTCTCAGCATCTGAAACTGCTCGACCCATCTGTCACACCCGTAGTCCTGTGTTCGAGTTTTGCGTCGCCATGGACTTGTGCAACACTTGCTGGCGTTCTTTGTGTGGCCCTTCGTCAGAGGCCCCAGGTTCTAGACCATACTCTATGTCATTTAATCTACATAACTTTTTTATAATGCTACTGTGCACATATATGTATATATATATATATGTATACACATATTTTTCTTTTTAGTTTACGTCATACGTGCTATGTTATGCTCTGCTATGTTCTAGTACATCGCAATGCATTCTGCCGTACTCCAAACTGTACTAATACTCTAATATAGAACCATACAATGTTATATTGCACTAATATGAACTATAATACATTAAGATATATTGTGCCCCCTAAAGTAACATCTATAACGTTTGATATCGTTATATGATAGCATGTTATATTACATTGCACCTTGCTTTTGTTATACGCTACTACATGATGTTATGTGATAGTGTGCTATATATGAGCCCGAACACCTACGTCCCCAAGATGCCAGGCCTAAAGCCAAACCCTGAACCATAAATCCTGAAACCAAGCGCAGCCACAACCCGGGGCGTGGAAGGCCGAACACCGCTGCTGCTGCGGACCGCGGCTTTTGGCACTTGAGTTGCGACTGCTCGGAAGAGAGCCAGGCACGGTGTAGGGTGAAGCTGAGGATTTCGATGCTGGCATATGTTTTGGGGGTGCAAGGTTGTACGGCCACTGTAAGACTTTCAGCCTGAGAACTCTGATTCACTGCACGACGAAGCGGGCTTCTCATTGACCCATCCAGTGCTGGGAGCCTTCCGAGGGAGACGCTGAACTTTAAAACTGTTCCTGCACAAGGCGCAGGGATCTGGGGTGCATGCATCAAAAGCCGCTATTGAAAGTGCGGACCAAGCTTGCCCAGAGAGGTCCACAAACGGCAAACAAACAGTGCATCATTTTAATGGGATAGGTTCGGCTCCCTGGGTCTTTTGAGCTTGGGAGCAGCACTTGGCACCTGAGAGGCACCTCGTCCCAGTCGTATTAGTAGTACCCCCTGAATCTTATGCAGGGGCAGCAGGATTCATGGGGTTCCTGCGGAACTTCTCCTGTTCAAGCTGCACACACCTCTCAAGCAAACAGAAGCCAAAGTCATGCGCCCCATGCCCTCTATGCATACTCCCTCAAAACCAAACTCCCAAACAGCCCTTGAGTTAGCAGCATGTGGCAACCAACTCGACACATCGATCTCTTATCGAGTGGCTCTATCCCCTCCCCCCGCCCGCTCTTTTTCTCTCTGTCTCTCTCTCTCTCTCGCGCTCGGTCCGTCCGTCTATACATGTTTGTTTATATAAATAAATAAATAAACAAACAAATAAATAAATAAATATATAAATAAATAAATAAATAAATAAATAAATATATATATATATATTGATCATCCGTCCGTTTATCTGTATGCATACGTGCGCATGTGTGTGTGTGTGTGTGTATGTGAGAAAAACAAAAACGCAGCGGACAGGTTGCACCACCAAAACATACGTGTAGATGTGCATGTATATGTGTTATAAATGGTTTGTGATATTGAGCATGTGGTAATTATCATGTCTTTTTGCTTGAAACATATGCACACGTAAACCTGTATTAGTGGACGTGTCCATGTTCATGTCTATGTCTATGTAGGTATTATGTCTATCCATCACATATACGTTCGCACACATAAGATGTGTGATGTATACCTGTTGTACTCTGCGCATAACGCCATGAGGATCCGTGCCTGTACACGCTGCAGGGGGTCGACATGCATGCATGCATGCATGCATGCATGCATGCATGCATGCATGCCTACCTCGGCAAATACACCTATCAATCTTACATACACACACACAGCCGAAGAACAGAAGTGTGCACTCACGCGCTCACTCTCTCTCTCTCTCTCCCTCTCTTTCTGGCTTTCTCGCAGTCGATCTCTGTCTGTCTCATTCCAGTCGCGCACGCACACACAAGCATGCATCCGCCCATGCGCTTCATCCAACTGGTTGCCAAGAAAAGCGCGTGCACGCACAACTACACATCCCACATACATGTAGACATGCTTGGCACGCACGAAGCACGGCACGAACAGCAAAGCTGCATTAAGCGACACAACAGCACAGACTTCGACTAAGCTCTGGGATTTAAAGCCTACAAGGTCCCTATCATATCCTAGAGTCCTGAAGTCTCCAAGCCCTTAAACATCCTAAATCTCCGCAGCGAGAAGCCCCGGCGCCAGGAACCTCTAAGCCTCGGGGAAGACGAAGAAGGGCCATCTTTAGACTCACGGTGCCATGAAAAGAGGGCTTTACAGGGCTTGTGCCAGGGTTTAGGGTTTGGGTTTTAGGGTTTTAGGTATGAGGGTTTAGGGTTTTAGGATTACTATCAGGCGACTTGTTCGGCTTGCTGCATGACTGTAAGGGTCCTTTTCAGGTTTACTAATTATGCTGGCTCAATAGGGTTGCCGCAAGGGTTCTATAAGGGTTATTATAAGGTTTAAGGTTGGAGACTTGATGTTTTTGAAAAAGGGTCCAGGGCTCTTTGGTTTGTCAGTGTAGTTCCTTGTGTCTGCGTGTAGGGTCATAATTTGGTGTCTTTGGGTAAGCCTACCCGCTGAATTGCATCGAAAGCCAGGTAGAGATATGCACCTGACATATTCATATATATATATATAGAGAGAGAGAGAGACAACATTAA